GCACTTTCTTCAGGAAACTCCTGCTGGTTGTTGATTTGTATGCCGTTCGAACCCTGTACGTAAATGCACGTAAATTTCTATTTGTGTTCGTTACTGTGCGTGTATATTCCTGTGATTACGTGTACAACGATTGGTAGGTTTGTTTTTCTCCCTTAGACTAATCGATCAAGAGACAATTAATTTATCGACGTTCGATTTTACAGATCTTTTATCGTTTCGTTGTTTCATTTGCTCACACAACATTTTCCAATGGCGTTCGGCAACACGATGGCATTTACGTCAGGACGGATGGAGTGTCTGCCCTCACCAGAACCTCTCCACCAGATCACTCCGAAGGCTCACTGACTGTTTGTTTGCCTGCTTGCTTGGCTATCCGATTGTCTGTCTGACTGACTGTCTGTCTATCTGGCGCCCCGGCAGTTAAGTCGCTCCTCTCACTCCTGTCTCTCCTCTCTCGCCCAGATCACCGCAAAGAGCAGCAGCAGCAGCAGCAGTAGCAGCAGAATAGAAGCGCGAAAGATCGGCAAATGCCAATGCAATCCGGGAAAGACCCCAATACCAACTATACTCCTCACTGCTGCTACCTATTTCTCGCTCCCCCAACAACTTTCGTTCTCTAATCTCTTACTTCGTTCCCTTTCTTCTTTTTCATATGCTTTTTAATTTGAGCGTGTGTGTGTGTGTGTGTGTGTGTGTGTGTGTGTGTGTGTGTGTGAATGTCTGAGTGTTGCTGCCTGAGTGTCTAGCTATACGTCCCTGGGTCTGACAGCAAGTGTGCAAGATCGCCGAAGACTTCAGCTTGTTTCGGTAGTGACAGCTCCATTGCCACCGATCTGCACCGTCACTCAGGCCTACTCGACTCTGCATCGAGTCGGACGAACTGCCTCTGCTATCATGGTCGGCTGACGCCAGGAAGGAGAAGACAAATGAAAAGGCCGCCGATCGTTGACGGTGAACCTTTGCAGGAACTGCAGGTGGTGCTTGAGCCAGCAATGGCTGGCTCTATCACTCTCAACCAGACCCAACCAAGATATGGATTCCCTGCCATTATCACCCGCCAAAGCGACTAAAGAATGTGCGTTGAGCAGAACGGCGGCGGCAGCGGACGAAGGAGGAACCAACGAAGTTCGCCAGGTTAACCGCGCGACAGCAACTGCTAATACAACCACTTCTGTCGTTCTTATTGCCGTTACGGCAAAAGTAACCGGCCACCGGTGGCTAGCTATAACGACGACAATGCTGAAGACGACGACGACGGAATAGGCCTGCCCGTCTGACTGCCTCCTACTTGGTGCTTCCGCAGGCGAACAGTTTGAAATTTGCTAGCAGCAAAGCCGTCAGTTCGTAAGCAAACGGCGAATGAGCAGGAACAACTACAGCGACGACAGCAGAAGGCAAAACAGTGCCGCTGTCCAATCAAAGTCTACCAGGCCAAAGCGTGTGAAGCACATTTCCAACATACCCGTTGTGTCTCTCCTTCGCGAAGCCGCTGAGCCGCGAGGCATGTACTTCTACAGCAGCTCGACCGTTTCAGTAACAGCGTTGGTTGTGTGTCGGGATCCGCTTCTTGTTACGCTGTTATCGCTGCCGTCGTTACCGCCCATGCTGGCTCTACTGCGGCAGGAGAAATAGGTCAGTCAGAGGCAGCGGCCGCAGCTGCCCCAACGGCCGGATGGTTGATTTTGCAGCTTGAGGAAGGGACCTTCAATTCAGGCTGACTTCAAGCTTCGAACGATCGGACACACTAACAAAGAGACGAACGGACACGCACAGGCATGGGGACGATGAAGCGGTTTGTCGGACAAAAAAACGTAAACGCCGATAGACATATGGACAGATACCGACGCGCAGAGTCGGTGACGTGAAAGACGAAAACAAGTTTGGTTGATTACTTTACTTTTTTTGCTTACCTTGTGCTACTGCGTCGCAGACGCTGATTTGTTCCTGTTGCAGATACCGCTCCTGGCGCTACACTTACTTTTTTTGCATTATCTCGCTAACTGCCGCGAACAGCTGAGCTCGCGGCTTACGGTTTATAGACCACAAAGCTCGTTTGGTCCTGTACGATCCACAACGAAGCTCCTATTGCATGGCACAACCCCCTGCCACTAGGTAAGCATTTGCCCGCTTCTTAGAAACATCCCCTAACGAATAGGCCTTAGCATCATTCGAAGCTACTTAGCATTATTACTGAACTGCTCCAACGAACTTGCCTACCTAGCACGAACAAATGCGCGATCTGCCCGAGCCGACGTCATTTAGACCGACCTGCTGTTATTATCATCGCCACGATCATCATTGTCGCCGTTGGCGCCGTCATTCTAATCATCATCATCATCATTCGCCCTTTTCCACCGGAATATCCACATCATTATTAGTGAGTGCACAGCAAATTTGACAGCCGATGTGTTTGTATTTCACAGATTATATACCCCATCGATACGCACCGTAAAAACAGTCGATCGACGACTGAATCGTTTCTATTCGGAGACACATTTTTGTTACAACCTGCGGGTTGCACGTGAACGCTATTTGCATGCCTAACGGGAGCGGGACTATACGAATAGATAGTTTGGCCGACCAAACGTGCAAAGTAATTATCTTCATTTGGTGTTAGTGTCCTTTTTATCCGTACATGGAGTTGCTCGGGGAAAAACATCTGCTGTACATAGTGCCATGCCGATAAAACCACTTCAATGGGACAAAGATGTTTGTTAGTTGCTATTAAATTAAAATTTGATTTTGTTTAACAATAATAATAATAGTAAAAGTATACGCTGCCAATGTTAGCTAAACCAACGACATTTATGATTTTCTTCAACCGAAACTTCTGCCGGGAGTGAGTGTTTCAGGTCAGTTAACGCCATGCTAGCCAAGCTTCAGACATGGAACTCACAGCGTTCGCTTAGTAAACATTCCACGTCAGATTGCAGTCGCTGCCCTCATTGTTGCAACGACGCTCGAAGGATTACACGTCACTGGGAGATGCCGCCATATGATTTCCTGTTATGCATTCACCTCGTAAAAGCATAATTTGTTGGCTGTCAGAGTTACAAATCTACACACGCCCGTGATAGATTTCTGAGTAAATAAGTTGGTCAGATAAAAGATGTGGAACATTTATTTCATGGACTTTATTTCATCTTTTGATGATCTGCCAGCGTACGAATATAATAAAACGCAAGACGTGCCTGTCCACGTTCAGATCAAAGTGCTGACGTAAGCGCTGACGCTGTCAAAGACGTACGCTTATGTGATACAGATCGGGCCTATGAAGAGACGCCCGTTTTTGATAATAGCGCCCGAGATTTATAGTGCGCTTTCCATAAAATCCACAATGGTAAAAATAGGAGCTGTTTAGGTTGATACAGACGACTCTCAGGTTGGACCTTCCACTTAAAGCCCGCGTAATCTAGTTCCTTTTACCCTTTAAGCCTTTAACGATACTCATTCTTATGTACCATTTACTAATTATAAGCTACCGAGTCAACCGGAGTCTAAAAAATCATCGCCTTGTAATATATCTGCCTTATTTGAGCAAAGCTCCACATACTTATGCTAATTAATTCACTTTAATGAGCCATCATACATAATAAATAGAGTTATAACCGATCGGTTGCTTGTTTATTACATATATATATAGAAAATGTTCAATTATATTGTTTTCAAAGTTACAACTTTACTAACTTTATTATGTTTTGTATTTAAGGCCCGATCCACCCACTAACCATTTAAAATGAAAAATCTTCATCCCCGATGATAATAATCGTCAACTGTACATTTGTTGAAGCGTAGGCTGGATGTAGACTCGAAGCATTTCGCTCTGACTATTGTTAAGGATATTTTAGCCTGTCTGAGCTTCTTCAGGAACCACATAGAAACGCGTTGAGCATGACGTACATACACCGTTGATTTCGGTCAAACAAAATAAACAAATCTTAAATCGTAATGTGATTTGTCGTTCCATAGCTGATTCTCACTCTTATCCAAAGACGAATTTCTTGCCTTGGCCATGCTGAGTCCACGGCTTTGTTTTACAAAAACTGCTTTTCTCCTAGTACTAAGGTAGGGAACTGAAGAACACCTGTTAATAGTTTGGCAAAGTTAGTCTTATTTTAAAGCTAGCGGCGTTTATAGCTAAAGCAAGTGTTCGGATGGTTTCCTTCCTCGTCATTGCATCCTAGCCGACGGTAACGTAGCGTGCCCTGCACACATGCAACCCACATTGACCGAAATCGATACTCCGTCAACCCAACGTAAACAACTTCTTTTTCAATTATTATTCTACAATTTAGTTTCAAAATAAATGATTGTAAAGTGAAATGAAAAATAAAAACCTGCTTAATCTGCAATCGGAAATATTTAGAAATTACTTGCCAAAAGTTATATGGTATAAACGTACGTACAATATGCGCGCCAAAAGCGAAAGATCATTATACAGTGATTGTGTTTTGTAATTTCAAAACGTTTCCTCCCGTCAGGCTAATTTGTCTACTAAAAGTAATGAAAATAAAGCTAGCCACCTTGAGATTTCCTATATACATATATAAATTGTAGAGCGGGCTTATGAGTCGTCTCCCGCCTGAAAATATACATACAATGATTCACCTGAAAAGCTAGTACATCATTAAAGAACCGATAATCTATCGAAGAAATTGTTCCGCGACTGTCTACTAATGGACCCAATTTCCGATTTTGTTGTTCGAGAACTCGGATCGATATTGTTATTATTACTATTGTTGTACTTGTACAGGTACAATAAATATCAGATCAGATGCAACGGCTTAACCTAACGAAGAAATTCATATTGTACCCAACGCAAAACACATTATCTATTGTCAACGACGTAGCAACCAGATATTAAATAGTTATTTTCTATATTTAATATATATTTAATTTATTTCTGGGTGACGAGAATTCAACAGGACGGCCAGTTGCGGTTTCACCGCAACTGGCCGTCCTGTTGAATCCACAGAAACTTAATACTCGTTAGTTTTCGCTTTACACGTAGAATTCTTTATTTACATCGTTCGCTATTAATATTACTTATTATTTTGTCTAGCTTGCTGAAGTCATATACGATCCAGCTTTCCCTACTGAATAGGCTTCGACAGGGAAAATATGTACGCAGGTGGCGCTTTGCCAGAGACCAAAGCAAGCTTTTGGCGCGCCACACTTTGTTCTCTACAGCGGTCTTCTGCGTATCAGTAAACCCTTTAAGACGCCTTGATGATCAGCGTCCTCAATATCAGTTATATCACTACTATTAGTAAACAGCAGGCTTATTTTCTCCATGATCATAAATATAATAACAGAAGCAAAGATACATACGGCAAGTGATAGACAGATCAAGGTAGATCTGACTCATCTAGTTCAAGGCTCAAGGATGAGCTCGTATAATCGTAATGGTTTGAGGTAATAAGTGGTGGTGGTGGTGGTGCCTTATGTACATCATAATCATATAATATCTGTTAGCAATACCGTTATTCTCAATTACTATCAAACTTTCCGACAGTGGACTAGTGTTTGAATTGCCGCGGCATTGGCCGACTGGCTTTTTATCGATGGTTAGGCACATTCATCGGCAATCCTGCACTTCACTAGGATGGTATCAACTTATACTATTGCATGGGTCAAGCAGAGGCACCGTAACTCTGCCATGACGTCCCAGCCCACTTTTTCAGTGTCCTGACCTGGGCGGGACATGATGTCCCTGCTAGCTAAATATACTATTGTTATCATTTCTCTTACTGACGCAGACAACGGCACTTAGCTGTTTGATATAATAGAGTACAACATGAAATTGTGTAGACCTATTAAATGTATATACACATTATGTACAATATCGAAAAAAAAAAAAAAAGTTGAAAATGTCGGCAGTCAACTTCGAGGGGTAAACATGCTTGCAAAAAAATCCAACTCTTGTTAACCGCGTAATATTGGCATTGGCGCGCATGTTAGTGTAGGGAGAAAAAAAAGTACCTTCGTAAGAATACTCGTTCCAATTGAGAGCTTAATTTTAAATTATAATTAGATTGTGATTAGACAATAATACCAGGATAGAAACAAAGAAAGGATGGCGCATATCGAAAGCTTGCCGAGTAAACAGACATCGATTATAAAAACAAACAGTCATGGGTTATAGTCATATCACAATAGTTAGAGTATGATATTATGGGCAAGCAGTCGGGCATTTTATGCGTGATATTATCGCTACTGTTTATACGAACGTCAGCTCGATGCTTAGCGTACAGTCTCCAGCAGTAGAATATTTGGGGGCATTGTATGTACATACTAATAGAGAATTTGTCGTGCTCACTCACCCACTTCAGGATAAAACGAGCCTTGGCATGGTAATACAAAGTTCAGCCTGCCGCTACAGAGACTGTACGTGCTTTTTGGTCTCGTCATCGCAAGCTGGATAGCTTTACATTATTGCAATCTTTTTTTAACGTGGCTAAAAATACTACTGATAAATTTTATCTGGAGTCCGTCGTTCATTAAGTACGTTTTCATTGCGATGGAACTGCGCCGAATCCGATTGCCGCTTCTGACGCCATGGGCAGTGATGGAACGGTGGAGCGGTGCGCGCATACTGGAGAAGAAATTTAAATTTGAAAGAGGGGCTCCTGCGTCATCTCAGTACATATCTAGCTTATTGTTCCCGCCGTAGATGAGATAAGGGGCTGTATGTCGATAGTTAACAGACGATCGAGGTGATGATCTCCGAGATAATGCTGAATGCTGCGTGGAGCCGCTTGAATGGCCTCCGCCACTGCTCGACGAATGGGACGACACGGAAGACCTGAAACAAGGCAGCACGAAAAGCCTAGATGATGTTTACTATAGTTTTGCATCATCTCGCTGATACTGAAACATGAAAGGAAAGCAGCGCATACTCCTGTATCTGTCGATCTGTTCCAATTCGAAACTAGGATGTTTTGAATCAGAACAGACTATTTCCACGTGGAGGTATTAGGATGAGCCGCGATGCTAGATCATAAGTGGCAGTGTAACGTTTACTTCAGTTAACACAGTTAAACATACGACTAACGAACGAAACAAATCGCATTTCGTTAAAACGAATGGATTGGAGTTACTGACGAGGAACAAACTGATTTTTCATTTTGAAATTTGAATTTCGCGGGTTCAGAGGAACGTTCGGTTTGGGGAAATCGTGCATGCTGAAAAAACCGCTTGGCAAACCTACGGTGTTCATATGTTCTCCTCATCACTCATTTAGCTCGTGGCAAGTGAGAAGGATCACAGAAGCCCATCTAAAACGGTTGGTTTCTCGTAATGATTTTCACCTTTTTAACGCAGCTCATCAGGAAGCAATGACCGTCAATCGAGTCCGACAAAAAGACAGGGCGAGTGAAACGAGAAAGGCACAATAGGCTATCGATGGTTTTAATAAGAGCGTTCATGAATCGCTGTGAAAGGACCCGTGCAAGGTGGATATAAAGGACGCTATAGTACAGCATATCAACATGCTTTTTCTTATTGAAATTGCTTAGCATCAAATCATTTAGTACCCTGACACTCCATTACGCCCCGCCTTCCTTACTATTGATGCTGCGGGTTGAGCATAGGTTTGCAAAGTGATTCATCGGTTGAAGTTCTCATTGATTAGCCAGCTTCGCTCTTCCGGTCTAGTTGTTTACGTTTTTCGTGTTCTACAGTGTTTCTGTTGGTAAGTAACTTCATGATGATACAAAGACGTTACGCGACGATAGCGTAACGAAAAGTTAGCCGGAGTGGCTTCGGCGGTTGGAGTAACTTTCGTAGCTGAAGAAACTTTCGTTGTCTCGATCGGCAAATCTTTCTATACCGCCGAGTAACTACAAGTTGTTGGATAATGTCGAAGCCGTTGTCGAGCTTGAGGCACGGGACCAGAAGCTGTTTCATACGTATAAACATGTCGAAAGTTTACACATGTAATAATAGAATATGCAAAACTACACTATTGAAGGTATTGAGAAAGTTTTGCAAATTGTAAACCGTAAATTCTATAAACTCTAATGATTCATTGCAGCATTCGGGCAACTTAAGTTTTCTTCAGCTATATTTGGGTAATACGAGCAATCTTTTATGGTCAAACCGCTTTGCAAAACCCCGTAATGCCAGCACTTTATTTGCTTGTTAGCTCTCAAAGTTATGCGAAGACAGAGCCAATTGATTACCAGAGCTTTGTTCAGGTTTGTTCGATCTCCTGTCACCTCCTTCTTCTATCTATCGAAAAAAAGTCATTCGAATTATTTATTCGGTCCTTGAGTTAACAGGTTCCTTTGGTTTTTATTCTTCTTAATAAGTCAATTGTCAAATCTAGAGATTCATAACAATCCCTATAATACTAGCGAGTTCTTAACAGGGCAGGTTAAAGCTTATCATCAACATGCTAAAAAAAATACTTAAATAAGAACTTACTTAATTAGTTCACTTTAAGATGTCGAAAAAACAATTATTTATACATGTTATTGTAGCGATCGAGTATATCTCATTATAATCATTTTTGTACAGTCCTCGCGAAACAGTAGAAGTAAAAAAATCCATTATAAATCTAGTTTGTAACTGGATAAACTGAAGTGTAAAGCACGTATATGTTGGGAAAGATTTCATTTTTCAAGATGTCGATGAAATCTCGATATAATAATAGCGGTAATAATAGGGAGCATTATATATATATATATATATATGTCCATTTCGACTATTTACGTACCTGTAAATTGAAGGTTTGAGGAAATCTGGCAATCGTTCCTTGCAGTACCACATAACTTTCTTGGTGCATGAAAATGCAATAAAGATAAATAACCCCTGGAGCGTATTAAGTACAATAAATATATACCAAAGAACCTCGTTGTTTAAGTATCCAGCGAAGAAACCTGAAGAGTAAATTTAATGCAAAATCGTTCTCGTTAAGGTAAAGTAGGTGACGAAGCGTGTAAAATACACAACCATATTCTACTTCATGAAGATTACACATAAAATCATCCCATTTCTGAAATTTTTTTCTTCTTCTTCTTCTTTGCATATTTTTCCATTACCTTCGAGATGTTTATACGTGTAATATACATTGATTTATATCTATTGGTGGCATAGCGTTACCTCTATAGATGTCTCCGCGCAAAATTGTTTTTCCCCTAATGTTACCTCAATTGAAATGATCTACTTTTTGGTCAGAGACATCTGTTGATGACTATGTAAAATGTTTGCTTTTGCAATTAGGAGTCATTGTATTGAGCATCAGGGTCAAAACCCATGCTTTCTACATGCGCAATAAACATCAATAAAAAACATAAGCTAAAAAAGAATAGATAGTTTATATCTGATAGTGAGACTTGAGTTTCTTACCAGTACTCCAGACAAGGCCGAGCATTATCGCCAAGCGACTATAGAGACGATAATTAGTTCGCACGGAACTCGAAGGGTCCTTTACGATTGAGGCAGATGCCGAGGAGGACGATATAATCATGAGAGCAGTCAGAAGAAAAAACAGGAAATTAAGCATCATGATAGTGCCTGAAATGCATGATACATAATACAGGCGTTAATAATAGCATCACACATGAAGCACGGACAGAAAAAAAATTTGTTTAATTTTATTTGGATTATAAGACAGCTTTTAATATAAAGGTCATTAAAGCAAATTTACATAAGACTAATAATAAACGTTCAAACATGAATCTTGTGCTCCTTCAAAACAAAACCCATTGCGAAATTTCACATTATCGTCTTACTAATATGCTAATATAATTATGTAAATTCGTAATGAAGTAGACGTCTATCGAATTAGACGGTCCAGCTTGTCAGGCCCGAGCTGTACCGGAAACTACATATATTGTATTAGGCCTATACGAATCTCTCTCATTTAAAAACGAATGAAAAAATCCGCCACAAATGTTGCATACCTGTCGGTGCAACAAAGAATATTAGTAATGCTTTCCGATGGCCGAACCAACATGTATATTTGCCGAACGCAGGCCGATATTCCGGTGGTAGGAAATCGGGGTCGTGTTCGAGCACAATTGAAAGACCCACGATGAAGGCTGTCATTCCTGTAATAAATTGGTGACAGTAAAACAAGTAAAAACAACACTTAACTACTTAACATATAGCAAAACAGAGTGATAACTGGATTAATTTTCTTATACGGGTAAATATTTGGATGCTGATAATCCGCTGTTTTATGAACGTTTTGCCTCCCATACTCAAGGCATTGATTGCCTCAGATGACTGGCTCGCAGCGTGAAACACACGTTCCCTACACCCCAATTCGCATCTACATCGCTTAGGTGCTTTTAAGTTTAGTAGGCAAACGGGGTAGCGCTGCACGCGTTATCCTTCAGATGGCGATACCTAACACTATTTGCCAACGATACAAGCAAAGTCAACGAAGATGTGGTCCTGGGCCGATGTATTGATTCGACTCCCTTACAAGTAGCTCATAGGCCAATGGCCAAGTAATAAACTTGGATGAGTCAGTCGACATCCCAGCAGACATGCGTAAATCAAAACAAGCTCTTCACTATACAAACTAATATATTTAAAACAAACCAAATGTGTATAATTGCTAGATAAACGATATCTAATTTGGCATGATAGAAAGGCTCACCCCAGGAGTAAATACTATAGAAAGTGAATCTTTTCCATTGCGGTCCTGTGGTGACGCGCAGCTCCTTTGTGGCCATCCGTAAGGTCCGCCAGACATCAAAAGCCATTGAGTTCATCCAGAAGAACGCCGCTAAGAACGACGAGTAGGTCAACAGAGCAATTGCACGACAAAAGACTGTGCCAGCGGTCGAGTTGTCTACCTGCAATCGAAATGGCAATAAAAAATGTAACTAAGTGAACTTTATTGCCATCTAATCAGCGAACACGCTGACATATATATATATTTTTGCCAGCATTCGAAAATGTTCTGCAAGTATTTGCATGCTCGATGCTTAAAGCCAGTGCTAAATAAAATCGAAGAATGTTTGCTTTGGAGCCCAGGTTATATATGACAAATTTCATGTTAGAACCCTTCATACATTTAGAAAAAGAATATCTACCCACCTGTCCGGCTATGAAGGAGAGATAAGCAACGAGTAGCGATATGGAAAGGCATGCGAGGTTCTTCCCAGAAAGATTTCGCATTTCCGGCAGGAGGAAGAACACGGCTAAGTGAAGTAGTAGGCATGCTATTGAGACGCCAAGCCCAACTGCCGAAATATAGCCCATGGACTGCGAGAACTTGGCGAGCTCATTCGATGACATGTTCACTGCGTGGAGGCAAATGTATGCGCCCAACTTCGTTGGCAGATAATTCACTAAAGACAAACGTAATCGAAATTAAGTACTTTTTACGAGCTTGATAGAAGCCTGCATTCTATTATTTATGTATCGGAGTTCAAGACCTTGCTCAATAACCAGACGCTATGCATCGAAGCTCTCGGATTTGCTAAAGCTGGAGGGCCTCTAGCTGAGCAAACACGCACAATGGACCAGTAAATGAAATTGTTTGCTTTTAGTTGCGTCTCAAACTACAGCTTGTCGCGTTAAAATGCTCTAAAGAAATCTCGACCTAGCATCTCTGGATTTGCTGACAAATACCCTACGAGCAACCGCGATCAGACTCCTACGTTGTTTCAACAGATGGAAATTTCAAGATGATGTTTCATTAGTAGACATACATTTTACTAGCAGAATAAGAACTGTCTTAAAATCGCAATTTTTACAATCCAAGTGAAAACAGGACAGAATATTTCTCATTGCGTAGCCTAATCCCACCGCTCAGGGCCTATAGCTTGTGGAGCACATGGAATCGGCTTGAAAATGTCTGAACAGATTGATTGTTAGTGTTACATGATGCTCAAGGGAGTCGGTCTAGTGAAGTGATATCCAGAGCTTCAATGATATGTGAACGTTCAATGTTCTAGCTGTAAACACAGAAGCAGCTTGTATCCTCTACATTCGTGTTATGATTTAAGTTTAAGAGATCCCATATTCATGTACAACAGTAACATTGCTGGTTCCTCAATAGGAAGCTGGAAAAAATCTGATCGGATCTTGCAGATAGAATTGCTTACGAGTACACACAGATTATCTAGACAAACCACAAGCCATTTCAGTGGTTGCCCAATAGTACACCCCTTATGATGATCACTAGTTGAACTGTCATTGACCTTAGCTTCCGTGTGTCCCATACCCAATTGTGATTTCAACGTTGTTATCGGTGCTCGTTCAGATCACTCAGATCCTATAGAGCCTTTTCCTAATCACAGCAATTAGCTCAGATCACCCATAAGCACACTAAATAAACCATCTTATTGCTTTTTAAAGCCTCACAATAGATATTGTGCCTGGAGATTATATCGGAAGGTACAAAAATTCGGTCAAAATTTATTTGAGGCTAAATATTTGTAGCAATAAGTATTCAGCCAAATTTTTTTGTATTTGAGCACAAAATATCGCCTGCAAATAGGACAACAATGTATCAGTAAGGGCTACGTTCAAAGAAATCTAACCTTTAGTATATGTGGTATTATATTTCTCCACGAATATGGATTCGTTACTGAGGTATGTAAATTCATCCTTGTTAAGGAATGTCCTAGGACACTTCAGGAATTCTTCACTGAACACCGACCGTTCGCTGGTGTTATTGTTTCTATAGGGTGACTTCATATTATCGATCGATGCAGGAGAAGTGTCTTCGATTAAGCCCTGATTTACAGACACGCACTCCCGGTTTCGATAGACCTTGTCTGGTTGCGCACAGAAGATATCCCGACACTTAGCATAAAAATAGTCATACTCCTGTAAAGTGGCATAGTTTATCATTTTATATAGTGATGTATATACTGGAAAGAAGTTAATGCCATTAATTTAGATGAGATTCTCGGTCCTCAAGTAATACACAGCATTGTATGACAATGCTTAATATAGGCAGCAGTAGATGTCTGTCGTAAAATTTGTATATAATTAACTTAAACAGGTTATTAATTATGTTAATGACAAACCGACACACCGTAATGTTTCAATCATCTTTCCTCGTATAGATTTAATGCAGGTAAGTAAGTTATGGGTTTCTTTCAATATAATTTTTTGTTGGAAATATGAACCCATCTAATTCAATGACAAGAATAACATATCAAAATTAGAACAATACGTAGCTTGACATTCATATTATGACGGCAGTGGCGTTCTCTCATTGAATCTATACATTTCGACGCCTACGCGAAAGCCTTCTATCTACCCCCAGTCGACCAAACTTGCTCCGAGAAGTCTTCGAAACGCTCTGGGACATTCTGCGAGGCAGCCGTTTGCCTGAGATTTTCCATGCGACAAATTATTCATTTGTCCTAGTACCGAAAACTGCGATTCACCTCTTACATATAAGGCCACCCTTGTATGAAACACTGCAGAAGTATTGCTTGTCTTCGTTCCTCGAGTACGTTTTGGCCCCCGTGTATATACATATATACAAACAATCAGTGTTTTAGTTACTCCGCGACAACTAGCATTACCTGGTGTTCACCGGGGCACATCAGCTTTTTCCCGACATGACCTGAGCCCGTGAAATCCAATAAAAGTCCAAATGCAAAATTTCTTGCATTTACTGTATAGAAACCCTGAGGGGGTGCGAATCCACAATTCAAATTGTCAACAGGCACGTCGTTACATAATGCACAGTCGAAGTTCCGATAATTTAATCTGTTTCTGGGGTCGTGAACAACAGACTGGTAGCTTCCGCAACGTTCCTCGAGCTCGGTTCCTGGAAAATATCATAAAATTATTTATGATTTTCTGCTATGAATATGTAATCCCTATGGCAAATTGTAAAGCACATCATAAACATAATTAAGTTCACGCACAGTTTTACAACAGGTACGCTAAAGCGGTTTTGGGAGGATTAGTATAATTGTAAACGGCCATGAACGTTTGTCAGATAGTGATTGATTGCTAAGAAGCTTTGCAGCCGAGGAAATTCTCAATTTAAGGTAGTTCTTTTAGACTATCATGTGTTAATAAGATTCCGATGAAAACTTCCAAGAATTCGTACAATACGAATCTGATGTCAGCCACGTGCGGTATGAACAGCATCCCAGACGTCCGAATGAGTGAGAACAACATTTTCAATAGACATTGCGCCCTCCTGCCGATACTCGACACAAACCCATCTATCGGATATGCCGACTCGTCAATGGTGCACCTAAGCATATTGGTCCCTCACGATACAGTCAACCCATCAAACAGCACTAGGTGAAGAAGACCTACTTTGGCAGTAAAACGTGTTGCGTGGAAAGGATCCTACCAGGCCTCAAATCACCTCTCGGCCAGCTATACTGCCTGTCGATTCACATGTGAAGACCAGATGAACCCCATCGTGCCCTATATGAACTACGACCGTATATAAAAACTGGCTCTATGGCGAACGATAGCTGAAAGTGTATTTGAAATGCTGACGACGCCATCTTACATATATGTTCCTGCTGATGATCATATATTTCCGTAACAACTTCGAAGGGAAAGAGGTAAGTTAACTGAACCATTATCGTTTGCACACCTGATATGAACCTGCAAATGACTATGAATAAAGAAGCTTCCAAACATGTTAAAACTCTACTTGGTATATCCATCGACTACATAATACGTTGGTCCTTTAACAAGCCATCTCAATATTATGTAGCAATATTATGAAGTAAAGCATTGCCAACGCGAAGTTAAGGGAAGTTGACTAGGTTGTCCAACGAATTAAAAATACAACTTTTGTTATCTTGCGCATACCAACTTGATTAGCGAGTACAAACATAATATGAAGCTATAAACTTGTAAATTTTATTCTATTGCATGTTCGTATTAAAAATCTGACGCGGTTTAACGCAAAAATTCCGATACATTTCAGTATCGGGGCCATTTCAACATCATTTGGAACGTAACCAAAGACCACTCACCGTTGTACTGCGGAAGGCAGCGTCCTACAATGGCATTACATTGCGGCGGTGCAAATAATATCTTTTCGAGCGGGATCGACAACGAGAGGACGACCTGCCGATTGTTCATCAGCCAAACACCACGTTCGTGTGAAAAGTGTAGCGTATCCAGATCAGTTTCGTTGATTCCGTCTTTGGTAAGATTGCGAGCAACAAATATATGCAAAGTTAAATATAAGAGCTGATCCATAAGATTGTACGAGTGTCGACCTAGTATAATTACGTCAAACATTATTAGCAACAATAACAATATTATTTGGAAGAGTTCTTTGACAAATTTGCGATCCCGACTATGAAAATTTTTAACTCAGAGGTTATTGTCGCCACCTAGGATCATGGGTTGTTCTAACCTGTAACCTCACGGAAATCGAACGATCGATTGGCATAGATTATTTTTTTTACTTACTGCACGCTTTTTTGCATGTAAGCATCATGGACGTATCCGAAGGATACAGCCTTATTGAGTAGTCTACTCCTAAGTGCCGTTTCATCTGCCTAAACATATTGCGAGAGCCTGGCCGAAAGCTATGCGAACCGATCGTCCACTATAGAAGCGGTCCCGATGTCCATAGTAAATTATGATCGGGACTATTAGCGTTTATTCCTTCCAATGAAAAAGAATGACGTGGTCTCCGTGGTAAAAGCATCAGCAGAAGAAGAAGCAAACGAGATTGTTTCAGTCCCTAGACATTTTAAAGTACTGTCATCGATTTCTAGCTGACACCCCAATACATACAAATCGTATCCTCCGGAGGCTGAAGTTTGATCCTCCAATGAGTGTAATTTTCGACGTCGTCATTGCAGATAGCGCACATTATATTCTTGTAGGAGATATTTGTCACATGCGAAGATACGGGCCTCGAACGAAATGGATCTTTCAAGAGCGCGTCTGCCTCTTGCTGGAAACCCAAACGCAAAAGCACCAACAACTGTGGTAATACGCTACTAATGTTTACCATTACTAATACTAAGGTTTAATTATTACCGAAATGAAATCTGTTCTGTTTAATATTTGTTAGTATTTGTGCACTACTCATCGACGACGATTATAGGACTTTGTTGTAGTTCTATTGTGACAAATGGTCGTAGCAAAAAAAAAAAAAAAAAAACCACCACACGGCAATAAATATGGTCAAAAACAATACATAACATAAAAACATCGCAGGAAATACGCATCGCTGTATCACATCGTTAAGTTTTGGCCTTTGACCCTGCTAAAGCGGTTTTGAATTAAAGCGAACGGGTCGCACGGCAGGTAAGCGGACAAGTCCTTTCGTAGGCCACCCGTATTTGCCTGTCTGCATTGGGCCAACTCAGTAATGAACAAGTCATCTGGCAAGACGGTAACAACAGCACTTTCTGCAGTTTAAGCTTGGCAAAATTACTTCATCAAATCAATTACTTCATACGGTCTCTTTCTGTCTCCGCATATCGCTTGTTGTCTGATCGCCATTGAGGAAACCTATCGCCTGACGCCGAGACAAGACAGCTTGCTTGCATCCCGGGCGGAACTAGAATGTCTCTAGTTCCTTCGGAGATCAGATCAGTTGCCATCACCTACCAAATGCATACGGTTAAAACCGACTGGCTATGCGACGTATATGGCAACGTGTCTCTCTATCTTAGCGAGAATGAAGGCCAGTCACCTAATGCTGTTACTTTCACTCTCTTTTTCGATGTGAGTCGCGGTTATGATCCAGAAAAACAAGATAAGAATAGAGGAAAAGGAAGCAGCGGCTACGTTGTTTTCCCATCTTCTTCCTCTTTTTATACTTCTCGTTTAAGGTTAAATAGAGACGATTCTAGGTTGTGGGCTGCACGTAAGTATGCGAACAAACAAGAATAAAAGGTACCTTCGTAGTCTAAGTAAAACCATCGCCCTATGTTGCGCTATAGATAGCAATAGTAAATAACATTATTTCAGTTATTCAGCTTTTAAAAACTGCTTTATTTAGTCGTTAGTTCTAAAATTTAACACTCGATAGGGCAATTTTGCAAACATCTTGAGGCCACCGACTTGCTGCCGAAGACATTATTCCAGTGTTGTATTGTGCATTTTCTGTTACGTATGTACGTACGTGCCGTGTCTGATAACTGTGCGTGCAAAGACAACAATAGTATTAACTAGCTGAGCGATATCAACTAGCTTGTCAAAACACTATAGGGGCAACAGCTACGTGCAACCATCGTAAACAATAGGTGCGTTAAACAATGTTCTTCCGATTGCCGTCGCTTACAATACACGTCAAGCTTACCTCTTCACATTCGTGCACGATATTCGGATGTCCTCGCCAGCCTCGTCGGCACGTTTGTTTCACCCAAAAGTTCTGTTTTTCAGTAGCGGAAATGCAGTACCAATCGGGCGTGCTTTGGGCACTCAGGACGTCAGGACAGCAATCACCAAATAAGGCGCAATCATGATCGCAGTGACATGTCTGGGTACGGTTGAATTTATTCTTGAATAGCATAAGAGAAATGTATAGGACGTTATATCGTGATGCTCGATCTAGTGCTTGAATCTAAGAGGCATTCCTGTACGCTGGACCTGCCAAATCTCATTATCTACGAGCGACATTTTATTCTTCAATACCGGCAATAGAGAATACCCATCAGCAGTTAGATGTTTGTGTGTCTGTTTGTCTGTCCGTGGAAAAACGCGTTCGAACTTGGTAGCGTGCCTGTTAAGCTGATAACAAAATAGACTACAGTCAATATATCGGTAACCCTAAAATAAGAGAGACTGAACAAGGTGTGTTCGGTTGTTTATATGCAGAATAACATAATGTATTGAGACGACTCATTGTCGATGTCATTTTCCCTAGTGATTAATAGATTTATGGCGGCTAGGAACAAAGGGAACAAGCCAGCAAGTGAAACTCGGTCGGATCCAGTGAGTCAGACAGAGTAGCTGAACGGAAACGGTCTGGTAATATGTAATTCATTTGGAATGTCTTATACGACCTATGTTAACTATTGCATTTGACCGTATCTTGAAATGATGCCTTTCTAAATATATCCCAGAAGAAGAAAAGGCGAAACAACTAATTCATATGAAACATGGCAACATATACCACTGTACTTTGTCGTTCAGACTGGTCCTATAAATGCTACAGGTATGGTCGTCTGAATTGATTTTTTAAATTAATAGGCAGCTTGTACCCAAGAAAGGTGCATGAGTCATTCATGTGAAGTCGGCGAAACAAGGTCGTGCACGGAGTTGATAGTCTGCCACTTCCTGCAATCGCTGCTGCTGTTTCTATTAGGAAGTGCACTGAACGACGGCAATTCAGGTAGAGACAGGCACGCTCAATCCAAACACTGGACAAGCAATCTGATTTGTTCCTGAGAGTTTATTTGGGCCCACGTTAGCCTTATATTTTATAAAGACGTCTCTGGAGGGACAGGGGGCAGAGGAGGCAACAGACTTGAGATTGAAGCCGTAAACATATTTTAGTCATTCGAAATAGTGCGATCGCCAACTAATTTAGAGGAGATGCTAACTGACATGTAGAATTCTACCTTAATGCCTTGTAAAACCCGCTGCAAAATGATAAACTCCAGCAATAAGCTAAAGCTGCACACCCGGCTTAACTGCACTTTATGGCTATCGTTTGACGTAACTGGTGTAGAACTTTAAGGAATAATATAATTCGACAACTGGCTTTGCCACCATTGCGCGCATTGGTCTCTTTCGAGACGTCTAGCTAATGCTACCCGTCTACGGTCAAGAGATCCAGCATAGATGCCCCTCGCTTTCTATGTCAATGGAGTACTTCCTGCCCGTCCGATTGCAGAATTTACGATTGTATGCATCAGGACAAACTATCAGCCGATGTGTGCAGTACATAGAAATATGGAAGTTGTTCAGTGGTAGACACGTACTGTCGGAGTTTGATATCTATTCAGTTGGCACACTAAAATATATGTTCCCATATTCTGCCCTGTTTCTGCCAGCTGTTTACCGCACTGTGCGCTTGCGAGAACGGTCGTACCTAACACGTTGTTTTTCGTAATCTTGCCATACTTTTAAGCACTGGCTCCAGGTTCTGTTCAGCCAATCCGGCTTACCCTAGAAGTAGTTAACAGTGATATTTTTTAAATGATTATCATGAAAATCCTGGCCTCTACTCAACGAAAGGTCTTAACGGTTAATTCTTTTACTTAAGTCGGTTATTTTACGAAGAAAATCTAGCAAAAAAAGAGGTGTTGTGAAGTGTTAATCTTACCTCAAGATTCTTTAGGCTTTTACCCTCCTTTTTAGGCTTATAGCAGGTATCATTGCAATTGATAGGTTTGGCGTCGGGTTTAACATTATTATGCAAGCTGCCTCCGTGCCGGCCTACGAGGGACTCTGGAATAATGTCCGAGCTCTTTGCTCGATCGTCGCTTAGGGGCGGCTCGAGTTCTTTGGATATCAATGGCGATACAGTAGGGGCAACCTTTGAAAGAGTGCGTTCTTCTGCAATCGCGAAAATCTGAGCTTAATCGACCAACGCGTGGACTCACTCACTCACTCATATGACATCTGCCAGGTAATACTTATCCAAGAATATAGTTTAGCTAGTTTTTCATCGTATCAATTACGAGATTCGTTTAAACACTCGTGTGTGCGAATGACCCATAAACGAGATTCGTTAAAACGAAGATTCTTTAAACAAGGGGCCCTCTGTTAGAGATGAAAATGGTAAACTAGGTTCAATACATGCTGCATAAGCCCAGCTGAAAACCTTTTTTTTTCGTAGGTTAATATTTAATTCGATAGGGTACAATATGCTGATTCTAATAACATCTTCTAGTTTCTGTTTTCGCCAGTTCAGCACAAATTTCGACGGACATTTTTTTTGGTACCAAATGATTGTTCTTCGTTGATCTGAGATTGCTCTACATCTAATCACTTACGAGTAAAAACAATCGTTCCTGACTGACCAGCCTCTAGCTGTTCCACGGGTTGTAACGCTGGCTGAGCTGGCGGTCTGTACACCGGATTTAGCGGTGTTGGATCCTGGTTATTCCAGCCAATCAGCGATCGACGAGTGACAGCTGTTGGCAACACGGTTTGAAGCGCCTGCCGAAAATATGGCCCGTGTGGTGCCAGCAGCGCCTGAGGAGGCCTAATTAATGGCGGCTTATGGAATGAATGCTGAAAAAATTGTCGTTGTTGTTGTTGTTGTTGTGCTAATTGATTTATGTAGGCAGAAATCGGTGTTGACGATGGGAAGACTACGGACGAAGGTGCTATGAAGTCATTTAAAAGGGACGTCGGTAAGGGTTGTGGGGTAATCGGACCCGGTAGATTTGGCGTGCGTAAACCACTCGAAGGTGCAGGACAATACGCTAGGGTAGCTAGCGCCAAAACGGTGACTCCAGAGATGGTCCACAGCAACACCGAAGAGGCGACGCACCGAGCAGCACTCGGCGCAGACGGATAACTTTTGAGACGGCAGCGCGATCTCATCGCGCACCACCTGAAATCATTTTTTGGCAATGTAAAACACGGTAGGAAAAATGGTACGTTAGAATAGAAAACTGGACATGTAAACGTTGGTTTATATGCTATAGTTATTTCGAATTTACTTGATGTACAGATTAAACTGGGTTCATGTTTATCATACGGCATGCAGGCCTCTTCTTTTGTAGAAGCTTCAAAGTTTTCGCTTAAATTAACGATCTATCATTCGAGTCTGTGTATTCGTCTGTTATTAGCAGCAGATCGTCGAAAGCCTATTTAGTACAAGTGTTTTTCAAAACACCCAGCGATAGCAATTGACTAATGGTAAAGCGTGCAATGATTGTCCCGTAGAACGGTTTTTTTAGTTCAAGCCCAACACGATACGCGATTTAGAACGGCTAGGAGAGAGCCGCTGAGAGATGATACCACAGCTAAGTAGATTGTACGTGGCGCACGAAAAGGTAGGAAATAAGTATAAACGTTTTCTGATTTGTGCTTGGCGTACCCAAATGAATCAATGAATATGATCCTATCCGAATATAATATATAGAATGATGCTTCTCAATTCATTCTACAGAACAATTCTACTTTGTCCCTCTAGTTAAATATTGAGTTAAAATAAAGCCGTCAACTTATTGGATTACTCTGCAGCTCAATACAGAAGTGCTTCGGAGCGTCATTATTTAAAAAAAGGGCATCCATTATAAAAAATCAAATAATGGTAGACGCCCCGTCGAGAAGCAGACAAAGTCGAAAGAATTAATCACTAAAATCATTATAATAATCATATCTAAGAGCTAATCATTTCTAAGCGCTGGTACGAGACCGGTGATGGAGAAGGACACACGGACGTTACAAATTCAATCCACGAAGGCTTGCTTCCACTCTGAAGGGGTGCAAATCTTGGCGTGTCTATCCTAGGCCATATAACATGGGAATGCGTCAAATGTTTATGTAGATCTATCTATAGTGTTACTTTTATACGTTTCGCTAGAGTAGTCTACGTGCAAAAGCTATACTGTATTCTCCCGCATTTTCTCATCCAAGTTATAAACGAGAACGCTGTTATTGTATTTAAGCATGTTCAATAGCTCAACGTAGATACCCTTAATACATTATATTTTTTTTTTTTGCTTTTTTATTGATTATTTAAACAATATTTTATATTCCCATATATTGGGAAAAATTGATCTGGCTACGAGTTAAGTTTTTCAATTAACAAAAATATCTACAGAATATAACAATTAATATCCAAAAAAGACTAGGACGGACCTCTCTTAGATACATGCTTTAAATTTAGAAAAGCTCCGTCCCTCTTCTCTTTAGTCAAAGTTACAATGAAGTCTCGCGAAAGGTGTCGTGAAAAATATTAAAATTCAGGTTCATGCGCCGGTGGAGCACGTCATAGCGCTTCACGGACTTCCGCGAATGCTGACACGTCTGAATAAAATGTTGTAACGCGTAACACTGTGTCCTGTTCCCAGTACAGCAAGTGGAACACGTATTACGCAACCCGTAGACGGCCGTCTGGTCGCTCGAGATCAAGATAACGATTCTTTTGAAAGAATCAGCTTCGCATAACAAGAAGATCATCCCATCGACTCCATATAAATTGGCTAGGCATTGTTTTGGCAGCCATTAAATAGGTAGCGTAATTGAGCACCCAGTCACGGAAAGATCTTCGTAGGCTTCACTTCGAAAATGTAATACCATTCAGTAAAACGGATACTATCGGTGCTGAACTGGTACTTATACTCTAAAGACTTAAAGTAACATTTTGGAAGTTTCAGTTTTTAAACAGAGCTCATCCGCAAAAAAAATTGAACTTACAATACACACGAACATTCTTAATGCGTTGAGACGTATTTGTGGTACAGTAAAAGCCAGACAACCCATTAAATATTTTTTTTTCTTTTCTATTTTTTTCTAATTTGGTTTTCATATAGTATACGAATAGTACGAACTTATCGTTAGGTTGCTTTTAATTTTCAGAAGATAAATGTCAGTAATACTAAAATCTGTTTTAGACAGCGTTACTGATATGCGTCAGTATCAATTATCCGCACAAGCGGGTCTGTAGCTCAGTTGGGATTATTGATTACTAATTCGTTACGTGTTTTTGGCACAAATGTTGATTAAAATCTTATTGTTTTTTTTTTTTCTATTTGCTGTAATTGCCGTGTATGGCGACTACCTGAAAACTTATAAGCGTTTACAGTTGTCCGTTACCATCTAAACGGCAATGTTGACGTTATTTACGCTAGAATTAACCGATATAAACCATGCTGCACCCTATTACCCCACCGCATCTTCGTATAATGATATTTGCAATTGATGATTTTACATCGTGAGAAAGTATGCAGGTCGGCACACCGAAAGCCGTCATTGGTGTTAAACGTATGTCCGTTAAGGTTTTTGCCTGTTGCTGGTAATGTGCGTTAGGCATCAGGTATAAAACACTTCGACACTTAGTAATATCAATAAACGCCGTCTATTTGAATAAGGAACGGCGCGGTATACGATATAAGCAAAATAAAACCTTAGCTTTCTTAACGCTGGACGACCCGAGTCAGCTGGATGCTTGTCGGCACAACGAGCTCGTAAACGACGAAACGTTTTACAGAACTTCTTTCGTCTACAGCGCAGCCGGTCTGCAACAGCTATAGCCAAAAAAGTTCCATCGATCGGCCTTGGTCTCTTGCTCATACATACATGTGTAATAGCAGCAATCGGCGTAACAGATTGACATTTTCTCTTGAAATCTATGATGGCAGTGAGAACATAGCGAATGTTTGATGCCGCCTCCAGACGAATATAGCTAATCCAGTGCCAGTGCCTAAACCCAACGCCTAAAGGAGAAGGTATCCTTTTGCCTTCTTTACCTGTGGCATTATTCCTGCCTTTAGTCCAGTATGATATTAGCTAAAAATGATAGTAAAGCTAGGAAAAACGCGCAAAAATACTAGTTCTGAGTCATCATATTTTGCTGGAGTCACAGTTATATTAGCCGTTTCGTTACGATGACAACGACTGAATTATCGGCTTGATAGCAGCGTAAGTACTGCGGCCGTTCAGCTACTGCTACACATCCGAATTCAGTTTGAAAGTGAAACGTATGAAGCAATAGCAGGAAAATAAACAGCAACTTAAGTCGCTCCTAAGTTTGCCAAATTAACTAAACTATCATATGCGAAGCTACCTAAAGGGGCTTGTGTGAAAAAAAAAGTAACCTGAATAACTTCAAATTCAAAGTAGTCTAACTCTAGCAATGGCTTAGAGATTGTGTATGCCGTTCAACTTCGTCAGGTGAGGTTAGCAGGAACAATGCTGAGGTGAGACAGTGCATGACTAAGAATTTCACTAGATACTATTATTTTGTAATATCACAAAACGTCTCGTTGGCTCAAAGGGATTTTTTTTACGAGGGATAGTGTTGCAATCGCAGCTATTGCTTTCAATATTAACAGCTTGGTAACTAGTTACAGGTAATTGTTTCCCTTAGAGAGCTGCTCGTTTTGGTACCTTATTTAAAAAATGTTTGGTACTATTTACTACTATAGATGCTTTCGACATGGTCACACCTTCTCTAAGTGACGTATTAGGTGCTTTTTTAGCGCCTGCGACCCTTCCCGACGTGAATCAACCTTAAAACTAGGCGCAAATTAGAAATTCGATGCTTTCTTCAGGCCAGGCTCTTTGAAAATGTCCAGGAAGAAATTACGATGAAGGGGTTATCTTGTTCTTAGAGATTTGTTAGCGGGACTTGTTTGTTGGACTGGGGTAATTAGCGTGTTTGGACGTTCCAAATTCTATAAAATGCGTCTGACATAAAAATTTTCATTAAACAGAAAGCAGTTACGGTTCGTATATGCGACCCACGGCCAATAGCCGCTTCGTTGATCTTTGGCAGTAAACCGGTCGGTCGGTCGGTCTGTCTGTCTGTAATTAGATTTGCAGCATTTATATTGAGTGAATTCTGTTGCTGCATAGCGTCCGCCTTTGATGCCCTCGAAAGTGCAAAAATAGAGAGAAAATTATGGCGGGATGTCAGTTAGCCTTGTTTTATATAGTTCTTTCATTCAGTTGTTTTTTGCATAGTTTCAATAGGCCAGCGTTTCTGCCTTCAATCCGGATCGCCAAAGAAACAGATCTACTTACAAAACAACGAGCGCTCTACGTCCCTTTGCGCGCAACGTATTGCATAAATGCTAACAGATGCCGAGATTTTGCCGGCTGTTACGATACAACGTTTCCTTAAATAAGGATACAAATAGAATCACGTTATGTTAGCGTTCAAACGTTTATCTAGGTAGTCCTGACTCGTGGTCAAGAACCGACCACGACATAGTTCAGATGAACAAAAGCAAACGATGATACGGTTAATACATTCGAGCAAATCTGCAATCAATTTGATATTTTAACAGTAATTAATAATACTTTAGAATAAGTCGAGGAAAAACGATACGGACTAGATAGAAAAAATTAGAGTAATATAAGTCAATAGGACAATAATAAGGTAATAAATCTATAAAGTGAAATAAATGGCAATAACTTCTCTATGAGACTCACGTATCGTCTGTATTCCAGCCATAAGGCGAAGCTAACATATCACATACGCTATATTTACGTTTCTATTTCGTTCTAACAGCCACTTAAACGTCTGGATATATTCGGTACGTAATGGAGAGAACATACACGGTATTGTACTCAGAGGCGTGTACAAAACAGCGCAGAAACACGTACGATTGCCAAGTTGGTTCAATTCTTCGCTTGCGTCGGACGTAGTCGGCGCTCTGTGCACGACAACAACGAACAACTCGCGCGGCGCGAACACTCATTCCACCATTGTCCGTTACCGTTGGCTTCTTTCGCATGCTCTCAGCTTGATTCAGCGGCGTCGCTGCCACTGCGGGGAAAGGGTGAAGCTAAATATGTCACTGATGACATCATCACGACCAGCTACGACCAGAATAATGGGGCACCGTGAGAGGAACTAAACGAGCGGACAAGGGGAAC